TTTTTGACGTATGTGCTATCCAATATGTTAGCCGCTAGCCACACATGGCAATTTAAATTTAAAGTTAATGAAAATTAAATAAAATTCAGGATTCCATTCCTTAGTCACCAAATGACCGGCCACACTTCAAGGGCTCAGTAGTCACGTGTGGCTGAGCCAACTGCCTTGGACAGCACAGAGAGCATCTCCATCATCCCAGTGAGGTTTAAATGGTTGATCAGGTACTGATTCATATTTTAAATTTTCCTCATAGTTTTAACCTTTTGATTACACTGTCTGTCAAGGCTTTCACTGCACATGGTACTGTAAGACCCATGCACTTTGCACAAATCCCACGCCAGGGGTGGCTCACTTCACAAAGACCACAAGACCAGAGACCACTGCAATAAACATGAGGTTTTATTATCCAGCATGCTGGGGCGCTTTGCCTTTTGGAAAAGCGGCCCTTCCCCTCTTTACATTGGAGTTTTTATACACTTTCTTTGGACAAAGACTTTATTTATGGTCAGGCTCAACAGGCTAACACTCCGATAAGGGACTGTTTAATTTTTTTAATCACTTGGGCTCTGCCAGGTGTCCTGAAGATAAGAGGGCTGGTTAGTCCTTGGGACCGGCTGGCCCCTGGAATGTGTGTCTAGTTCTGCTTTGGCCTGTAAAAAGCTGCTTCACTTAAAATAACCTTTAGATATATTTTCCTCATTTTTAGTAAGTGCTTACAGGAACAATTGGTGTGCAGGTTAAAGTTACATTTTTTATAACAGTACAAGCCTATCCGACCTATCCCAGATGGCTTAAGTGGAAGCAGTAACTGGGCTCACACGTTGAGGTGTGAGGGTGCACAGCCCGCTTCATCGCGACATGTGGTCCACAGAGGAGAGGACCTTGTCCCCCTGCTCAGGCAGCCATACTGGGCTTGAAGCTCCTTGACCCTGGTCTGCCTGACTTGGGTCATGTGTTTCTCCCCAAACATAGCACTACCGCCAGGGAGGCTGGAGCTTTCTGGTCCATCTCCCACTCTCCAGATGGAGTGAGTTCGTCTGAAATTCATGGATTGAGAGGTCCGAGAGGGCTGTTGCCCACACAGGCAGCACTCACACATGTGGGGGGAACAGGGAAGAGAGAGAGCAGATTTCCGCTGCTCTCATCTAAGCAGTCCTGTATGCATTTTCCTGAAACAGTGCTGGGCTCGAGAGAGAGCAGATTTCCGCTGCTCTCATCTAAGCAGTCCTGTATGCATTTTCCTGAAACAGTTTCGTGGCTCATGTCATGAAGAGCACATCCTGCGGTTTTGCCTTCTTCAGGGTGACTTGAATCTGCCACTGTCCTCTCTCTAGCTGTGTACTCAGAAACGCCTCCCTTAGTGTTTGGAGAGGCCGGTAATGCACTCCTGTCCTGTTAGTATTAAAAGTGGTGGACTACATACCTAAGACTGCAGGTAGTGGGATCCTGAATGTAAACACCACCATTTAGTTCTCCAGCAGACCACAGCATCCAGTTTGTATTTTGTTAATGCTTCCAAACATAAGCGTATTGCCGGTGAAGCCCACTCTCCCACCCTTACCCCTGTCCTGGCAGGGAGAATATGGTTAGACCATGCGCTGCTGTACACAGTGTCTGTGCTCACGCTTGCTCTCTGGACAGGAGGCTTAGGCTCTGAAGCCAGACTGTGGGCTAAAATCTCAGTTCCTCCACATGCTCCTAGTGTGACTTTGGGTACATTGCATGATCTGTAGCCTCATTTTTCTCCCCTGCACAATGAGCGTTGTCTTGGTGCCTACTGTTGTGAGAGCTGATGCCTTTCGTTGTGAGAAATGTGAGGTATCTCTGAAATACAAGAGCACCACTGATCCTAACTGCTCAGTGGGTCAGTCATACAGCCTCTTCCCCGCAGAGGGGATCATGTGCTAGGGGTGTGCTCAGAATCCCTGAGACGTGCAGTGTGGGCAAAGCACTCAGGAGGGGCCAGCACCTGCTGTCAGCCCCACGGACCATTTATCAGGTGGCTGCTATTTGCATATCGTATTTGTTATCCTTTATTTTTTTGGTCTCAAGTCTAATTACTTAGGGTTTTTTGTTTGTTTTGGTTTTGTTTGGGAGCAGCTGGCCGTTATGGGGATCCAAACCCTTGTCTTTAGTGTTATAACACTGCACTCTAACCAACTGAGCTCACTGACCAGCCCTAATTACTGGGTTTTTAAATATCCTATTAGTACTTTTTTGGTTTTTTGGTTTTTGGTTTTTTGCAGCTGGCCAGTATTGGGATCGAACCCTTGACCTTGGTGTTACCAGCACCCCACTCTACCAAGTTATTAGTACTTTTAAGCTGAAAAAAACAGGTCAATACAGTGAATCATCTTAATTCAGCCCGGCAAAAGTCACCATAGTTGCCAATTTTTACCTGAATGGTGAAGGTAATCATTTTACTAGAATAAATAGATCCCATGGATTACAAGTTATATTTTGAAAGTATTGATTCAGGTTAATCCCCTCACTTCAAAATGGAGTACTGAAGTTTAACGGCAGTGATAAAATAAGTATTATTAATGACAGGCATAATTAGGACAAAGGCAAAAGAAACAGTAATAAAGTTCAGAGATACAGATTATAGATTGGCAATAAAAATATAGATAGAAACTCAGCTAATGACGCAACCTCGCGCTCTGGTGTGGTTTTGGACTGCACCTTGTGCGGCGGCTCGTGCCCACCTTGGTCTCGCCTCCTCTCACAGATGCTTATCAGGCCACGTTTTCCCACCTCTTCTCCCTCTCAGTGTAGCACATCATCATCACAGCCTCTTGAGTGTGGGGGTTTTCTGAGCGTGAAGATAGTAGCTAATGAGAGCTTGTTACAGGAAAGAGCAGCAGTGTATTTCCCTTCATTCCCATCACAGAATGGCCTGCTTGCTCTCCATTCTCCCTGTGACAGGCTCCGTCTCTGTTTTCCCTGGAAAATCCCGTGCCTTGTTTCAGAAAGGATTTGTGGCAACTCCAACTTCCATGTAACTGATGGAAGCTGTGAGCACTAAATGGCGTGCTCAGGCCCTTGAGCTCCAATTTTGAATAGTGTCCTTCGTCCCCCTGTTTAGTCTTGTTTTTTCAAGCAAATACACTTCTAATTTAGAGTGTATAGTTACTGGAACTTTTTAAATGCATGAAGCTGGTTTTTCTGGTGGCCCAGCAGCAGAGTTCTCTTGTAGCGAGCATATCTTAGCTATGCCCACAACAGTGTGCATTGGCGCTGGAGCCGCCTCTGAGCTGTCAGAGGCAGATGAGGCCTGGACTGTTGTGTGCTCTCTGGTCTGCTGATCGGTAAGCCCTCTACACATATGTGGGAGAGGCATTGGCTAGAACACTGAACCAGGATTTCCCTTCTCCAGCCTCTAAAGTTTTAAATCTCACTACATTTTATTTGTTATATTTCTAATTCAAAATCTCATTTAGTATATATGCCTATGGGCAAATCATGACTAATGCCAGAGTGGAAATAGGTGTTCTTAGATATAGAGGTTGTGTTCTTATCAGATGTTTACATTTTTAAATTATTTTAACAATAAAATACATTAAAATTTAACATGAATATTATTACACTAAAAGAGTTTGAAGTTAGAAAGACCTTTTTGATAAGGATAGTCGCACAATGAAATGGGTTTCCTGGAGGTAATTTAGGCAGAACCTTAAAAATGAACTTGGCAGTATTCATGTAGAAGGAGCAGTGATGTCCCAGATGAGGAATGCTAGAGCATCTCTAAACCCGTCTTCTGGAGAGCCTGTTACTGAATTATGCTAATGGGAACAAGCCTCAGGAGGAAGGAGTTGTGTTCATGAGTGATTCTTGGCCTTCCTGCTGCTCTCACACATACTGCCTCTGAGAGTCTCTGCTCAGAATGATTGAAAGATGTTAGAGATAATGTGTTAAGAACGTAAACAGCAGGACGGGCTGAGAGGAAACTAAGTCACCATTATATCTTAAAGCAGCTAATTCAATTGGTAATCTGATTTTAAATTGATGCCTACCCCGCCAGAGCACCAGTGAATTGTTTTTTATCTCAAAGCCAAAGTAAGAAACAACCTTAGAATAATCGTTTGTGCAAAGTGTTGTTTTCCCTCATCCCATTGGCCTTGTCAGAGTGGACTCAAGAAGAGGAAAGAAGGAAAGGAAAGCCCATTAACAATTGCCGGTTTACAAATGCTGTCCTGTGCCAATACACTGACACCATTCTCACGTGGCAGCAGGGTAGCAGGCTTTACTGGAGCACCCTCTCCTGTTAGCAGCTAGGGCAGCCTAGGAGCCTGGAGCCCACCTAGAGCACCTTATTTTCATGTTTTCAGTAAACATTACACCCAAGTCCTCTAGGCACAAGTGATAAATTGCAGATTTCTCACTATGACTCTAGGTGTGTGGTGTTTAATGACGGTAGTTAAAAATTCACTTAAAGTGAATTGAGAAATGACCTTTCCTAGCAAAGAGGGGAAGGCTGAAGGAAGGTCTTCAGCCTAAGTATAAAACAGCTCATTACTGAAAGGAAGTGGCTGTTTCTCAAGCTGGTGCTGGTGATCCACTGTGAAAAGTCATCAGTGATACACTTGAGATTTGTACAGTCATCTTCATGTAAGAGGAACCTCCTTTAGTTTAATCCTTTTAAAATTATTTTCAAAGAGGTACAGAGATTCATTAAAAAACCTAATGTTGGAGGTTTGGGGAATCTCGTTTTTATTGGAAAGTTAAAATTATTTAAGAGCAAACTTTAATTGTGTGCTCCTCTTATTAAATGTCACTGTCTGCAGTTGACAGGCTGGTAGCTGCGCAGGGGGAGAGCTTCATGAGTTGTTTTCCCCAGAGTAGCCAGGGAGATCTTTTTAGTTGGCCAACAAGGAGATGTGGGTTTTTCTAAGAGATGATTGGTGTATTGTTGGTGCAAGGGACCCAGAGTTTAGTATAAATATGCATTTAAAATGTCATATTTTCCCTGCTAACACCCAGGTGTTTCCTTTTGTTCCCAGGAAGCCAGTGCTATGCCCTGTCCTCTACTGACTGGGGGTAGACCTCTGCCCACTCTAGAAGTTAAACCGTCGGAAAGGCCTTCGAGCAAAAGCAGAGACACCTTGAGAGAAGAAGAGAAAGAAAAGAAGAAGAAGAAACACAAGAGAAGGTCTCGGTCAAGGTCGCGCTCTCCCAAGCACCACTCGTCGTCCAAGTGCAGGTCTCGGTCACACGCCAAGGCAAAGCATTCTCTCCCCAGTGCCTACCGGACAGCGCGGCGATCCAGGTGGGTGTGCGGCACACCCTCCACCACCCTCACGACCCCTGTGGCTGGTGTGGGTGCTGGACACATCACTCACATGGAACTCTGTAGAGCTGAGTGAAGAGCTTAACATGAGTAGAGCTTTTGTTAACCGGCATGTGTGCAGATGTGCATTTGTCTCCTGTAATCCAAATAAGATCTTTTAAAAATTTTTTATTTTATATTTAACTTTTCAAAGCTACTGCCAGATTTAAAATAATAGGTTTATTTAAATTTTAACAGGTCCTGGAAGCAAGCCTAGCACATTTGCTAAATGTGTGAAAAATTCACAGGGTGTGGTGTGTGAGAGGATCTTTTGTTTGGTTGGTCTGAGGGAACTTTTTCATTCTAATCTCTCTTGAATGTGTGAATTTCAGAACAGAGAAAATCTTTACTCCTTGGTCTGTGTTCAGATTCTCCTGTAAGGAACCCACAAGTGCATGTACAGGATGAAACCGCAGTGCAGACTTGTTTTCCCCTTTACTTCCTTTGCCTGCCCAAGCCCCCTGAGAGTCACTGTTGAACCAAAAGCCACCTTCCTAAGGAGCCAGTTTTTGAGAGTGTTTTGACATTTTTGGCAACAGAAATAATAAAATGAAGACATTTAAGGGTCTCAGAATTTACTGCTTTGTAAAAGAATTAAAAGAAAAAAAAAAGGCTGGCTTGCAGGAGGTTCAGAAAGGCACATTCTGTTTAGGACTCTCATGAAGCTATTGTCTCAGTCTTGGACACTTCTCAGTTTCTCTTTGACACAGCACTTGTGTTGTTGGGATCTAGTTTTCTTTAGTAATTGATGTTAGCTTTTTCCTTTTCATAGGAAAAATGCAGGTGCCCTGTATGCTTTATGTTTAAAAATATACGTATAATTGTATACATTTGCCTCTCAGAATATATCCTAAAAACAATGTGCTTTTGTTATTTTTCACCCAGACCGAACCCTAAGGGCTTGGCAAGCATTTACACCTGTTTGCACTGAAATTGGATTTACTTCCATGTGAACAAATCTGACCTTCAGCTGTCTGCATTTTTGCTAGTTCTTTAGCAGCTCCACCACTTCCAACCCTCACACACACGCAAAACACCTTTCTGGGTTTTTTTTAAAGGAATAACTTTGCTGACATATTTTCAGTTTTTGAAAACTTCTAGGAATTTGTATTATATTAAAACTATCTTTAAATTTCTCATTTGAAAAAGCTTTTTATATATGACACAACTGAAAATAAGTAACATAGCCCTAAACAAGTCCTCCTAGAAATGCCATGCCCGATAAAATTTTTCCCAACTGTCCTTTGCTATAGGGCTCAAACAGAAGTATAATTCCTTCACATATCAAAAGTCCAATAACTGTAAAGGCTACCCAAGTCATTTCTTTAGTGTAAGAAATTAATTTAGCTTTAATGTTGAGTATTTAGCAAACAAGGTAGATTCTGATACCAAATATGTAAATGTATCCCATCTATTCAATTTTTTTCCTCCTGTAGAATTGCTTGGATTTGACCATCTATTCAGTTTTAAGGAAAGTTGATATAATGACCGTAAACTTTTCCCCAGGTGGTTGTATTCAGAACTAAAAGTATTCATCTAACACTTGGAATTTTGAATTTCTAGGTTTTATGTCCCTTTTGTTGACTAATCTGTAATAGAGTACATCATTTTATATATTACTTTATCTTCTTCTTAAATAACTTTTTAGAATAGATTTAGATTTACATATTATTTTGTATACAAATTTATATAACATTTCATATTACTTTTGTATATTTAATGCTGACAAGTCCTAGAAGCAAAATCTAACTCCTTAGCTTGTAACTTAAGTTAAAAGAAAAAATTAAGTTAAAAACTTTCCAAGTATTATATCTATTATGATAGGCTACCAATTTTACAGTTAAAATATTTACAGTGTCAGCAGACCTGGGTATTTATGTAACTTTCAAAACTTTTAATTTATTTCAATGGCTAAGGTAGTTATCTTTATATACTTTTAGTTGGTTTTAGTAAAATAACTGATTTTAAGTTCCTAAATAAGTCAGATCTTTGGTGATTGATTTTGCAATTTAGATAAAATATCAAGGCAAAGTGCAACTATATTATAAATTAAGACTATCATGATTATGAAACAAAATGTTCCAGCAAATTTTGCCTGAGAGCTGGCCCCTGGTGATGTGCTCCTTGGTGGCTGAGCATCAGTGAAGGGCTGTCCTGGGCCCTGAGGACATAGATGAGCCAGGCGTTTCTTGCCCTCGCACTTGCCTTGTAGAATCCTGCCTTGCTCGCCTCGCACTTCTGAGAATGGCGAGTCCTGCTGGACCGGATTGCATTATGCCAAGCTGCTTGCAGATCTGCTTCTTTAATCCAGGCCCTGCAGGCACTCATCATTCCCAGGGATTCTAAATGCAGCAGTTATAAGTCAGGGGGGATGGCGTTCTCCTCAGTAATACGAATTATTGAAGTGTAAAAATAATAAAATTTTAAACAAAATATTGAAAGTTCTAATGATACTGTCACCATTTCTTCTTTAACTAACTGTCTTTTCAGACAGGACAATTTGTTACAGACGTCACGTCTGCACAGGACATGGCGGACTTGCTTCTTGGCCTGACACAACCTAATCATTTTTAAATGACTACTGCCAGCTCAAAGTAAAATACTGCAGTTGTTAATATTTCTAATTTGTGATAGGATACTACAGTTGAAATATATTTTCTTTTCTTTGTTAAATATAGTAAACTCTCACAGAAAATGTTTAAGATTACAAAGCCCTTCTATATCATAATGAACTTTTATTTATTATCTATACCGTTTATATGATTGAAGTCCCATTTATTCAGTTTGTCGAAATTATTAGTGACTCAGGATACAAAGGCAAATTAATAATAGAAGAATCTTTAGTTTCAGAAAAATCAGTGTGTTGCTTCTCAAAAAGCATACTGATTATGACAAGATGGTATTTAGTGTTTTTTAAATAAGTGATGGTTAAAGTATAAGTATATTCCTTTCACTGTTTTCTATTTCTGTTTTTATATTGCATCAGGTTCTATACCATAATGGAATGAAGTAGTACTCAAGCAGTTTATTTACTGCTTAAAACTAAAATTTAATTTTAATGTTTTAGGTACTTTTAAACTGAACTTATAAGTCTAAAGCTTGAAACTAAGTTTGTTTTTAAAACTTTTGTTAAGATTACCTGTGGTGTTCATTTGGGCGTCTAAATGAATCTTCAGAGTTAGCCAAGCCTTTGGGAGGTGGAGAGATAGTGTTCTAGATAGACCTTTGAATTTCATCCTTTTAAGATATCCTCCACTGTAGAGGATCAATCTGTATGACAAAGATACATTTCTTTGTAAAAATTAGCTCCCTAAATATTTTAACTAGGGGGAGGGACTGGGCATTAATATGCCTTTGTTTTGACAGTTGTATTTAACGTTCAGAAAGAACTTGGGCCCACCAGTTAGCTTGGTTGGTTAGAACACAGTCTTACAATACCAAGGTCATGGGTTCAGATTCCCTTACCAGCCAGCCTCCAAAAAAAAAATACAAGCAGACAAATTGGAGTCATATTTTAGTTTGAAATTTGTGGTTCCTTGCTGTCTTTTTTTCCCCATGATAAACTGTATAGCAAACCAATAAAAGTAATTAATTTAATCTCCTAATCCTGTCCCCTAAAGGAGGAAATGGTTTGCTTGAAGTTTTCCATGTGGTAATGTTTAACTTGCTAAAGTGAAGACAATGGTTTTTATATGTTGTAAAGTGAATAGTATCCAAACCCAGATAAAAATGCAGTTGTAGGAAAGAGAAGAAACTATAGCAGGCAATTTACCAAGCTTAGGAAATAAGGAAGAATTTGTAAGGGAAATGTGATCCCCCGTTTTAAACTTGAGAACAACTGAAAGGTGGGAGCTGGGGTAGGTCCAGACCTTGCTGCTGCGTCAGCTGTCAGCTCGTTCACTTCCTGCGACCTGTGAGTATCAAGATAAGTGGAGGAGGTGGAGTAGATGAACTGGTTAAGTCTGGGTGAAAAAACACTGTTGATAAAGATGATCACTGTCATTCAGGTAGAATTTCTGGGATTTTATCATTGGAAAAATTCTCATTATGCCTTTATTTGAAAGCAAACCATTATGATTATTAAGGAAAAAATACCTGAGTTGTATTATGCTTGGAAGTTTTTAATTCAGACAGTTTCATCTTTAAAAAAATCATTCTACGTGTGATTTACTTATAAAATGGAATTTCTGTTTCTTGCACTGTGTTATGGTGTCAATATTAAAAGCCTAATTAACAGAATAAAAACCATTAAAGCTTCTTTAAAGTAGAAATTACAGAATTATCTAATGTTTATTTACTGCCCCAATTATGAAATGGACTGTTTTCCCAGATAACTTGAAATCTACTGGTAACAGCCACTTCACTTTAAAGAAATCTAATTCTTATAGCCACTGCAAAATAGTATTGTATTTCAAAATTATGCATTCGCAGGCATTAAAAACTAATTTATCTTTCCTGACTATTGAGTTGATTATAGAATTCTACGTTTAAGCATTCCTAGGTGTGATAGTGTCGATGAAGCAAGCTTCTTTCAGGGTTGTGTAGCGCCCAGCCCCGCACATTTTATTCTGAATGTGAAGTGTGTGCCTCCGTATCACAGACCCACAGCCTCCCCAGGGACACTGAGCACGGAGCCTTGTCAGAGCAGCTCGGCAGTGGCAGCAGCAGCAGAGCAAGAAAGTTATCAGGCAGCCTCCGCCGCCAACAGATTTGACTCCTGGAGCTCTTTTGAGGGAAAACCTGGTAAAATGTCAAGGTGTCTAACTGACCTCACCTTTGTAATCTGTTATATAAATCTTAGGAAAGGTCTGGAAAAAAAACCAAAACCATTTTATAAGTTAAAAAGCAGCTATGCTACAGAAGACCCTAAAGCCGATTATAGTTTATCCTGGAGCAGGTTCATTCCGTGGCTATGATATTTTTCAGGAATGACTCAGGGTTTTCTCCATGACGTGAGAGGGTGGAGTATGATTATAACCTGATCTTTGGAACAACAGCGTGTGTTGTTTTGGGGGGTTATTGTAATTAAAATGATTCAATGTAGAACTTCTTTAAATGGCAAAATCAAACCGCTCTTCTTTATATTGTTTTTGAGTGGGTTGTCATGGATACAGAATGGAAAGAAATGGTGTTTTTTTTTCCAGATTTCTGTTTACTGAAGGTCTTCCTGAAACAGTAATTTTACTGAATGGAAAAAGAACTAAAAAGTTCTAAACTCACTGTTTAGCGACCCTACGTTGACCTTGGCCCTCAAATGGGTGAGGGTCTCCGGGGTCTGTGTTGCGGTGTGTGAATTATGTCACTGCATGGATAATATGAGCCTGTCTTCAGGCATATGAAAAGAATGAATGAATATTAACGGATGATTCTGCATCCATGAAATCTCATAAACTTAAATTATTTAGCCTAAACTACAATGGGAATGGCATGTTCTGAATTGGATTGAAGGTTGGAGGCTTCATGCCAGTATACCTAACAGCGATTCTTGATTACTCCTGCTAAGAGGCCATTAAGTTCAGCTGACTGAGAGGCCATTAGTATGAACAAGAGAAAATCCAGGAAATCCTCTAATTTCATTCCCTTTTAGTTTCTTCCTATTGCCAGTATTCAAACAAATAGAAATGACTCACTGGGATATCATTGCCTTTCCTTACTTAAATGTGGATGGAAATACCAATGAGCTGAAATTTTTAGGGAGATAAAATGGACAAAGGCAAAAGGAAGGAAGAAAGAGAAACAGCAGGCCTGAGCTGGCCATAAATTGCATAATCAGACTTTGACTTGTGGAGAGGTGGTGACTATTGACCATTTGAAGCAGCAGCATGTAGCTCCAGCCTCCAAGTAAACCGTGGAGTGGTTAAGAGCTTAGCCTTGGTGTGATAGGTGTGTGGAATGGGACAGAGAGACTATCTCTGCTTCCAAGATGGGTTACATTCTGTATCGATAGAGTAGTGAGGCTGGGCGGGGGACCTCTGAGGTCACGGGGTCTGCACGAGCACCGCACTGTCGAGCACCCTGCAGACACAGACAGGGTCTGATCTCTGCCTTGGCAGTAGAAAGGGTGATGCTGCCTCAACGACCTGATAGCAAAGTAAAAACGCCATGTCGTCTTCTGTCCAGGTCACGCTCCCGGTCCCCTCGGAGGAGGGCTCACTCCCCCGAGAGACGGAGGGAAGAAAGAAGTGTCCCCACTGCCTACCGGATGAGCAGCAGCCCTGGGGCAAGCAGGAAACGGACCCGCTCCAGGTAGGTTGCTGGGTGTGCCCGCAAGCGCCAAGCACACGCCTTTGAGGTTCCCTGGGCGGAAAAGGGGTCTGGAGGTTGGGTGTCCATGTTTGTGACACAGAGCTTTGGATCATTGAAGGGCAGTGCCATGTCCTTCAGTAGCACTATCATCACTGTTGGACTTAGACCAGCTGAGCAGGCTGTGCCATGCTGGATTCAGGGTGCTGTCTGTCAGGGCAGGGGGTCCCCAGGGATCTGCTGGGGGCCAGATCACCTGTGTCTACCCCCACAGGGGCTCTCACACAGCAGTGCTTGGTTGCTGCCTCTGCCCTTTCCCTGTCCACAGGGAAGAGAAAGGAAGCACAGGGACACATGGAAAGGGAAATACAAACTTCTGGTCTTAAAGTTCTCCCTGGCCTTGAGTAAATTCACCTGTGTTGACTGGGTGGGGCATTACTGGGACTAGGGCTAAAGCCATATCTCCCAAGAGGGGGCCACAGAGTCTTCTCTGGGGCCTGCCTTGGCCCCAACAGCAGTGGACAGCCGCCTGCATTGGTGCCAGCAGCAGGCACCTTCCTCTCAACCATGGGTTGCCATCTTGGAACAGCCACATTTGGGTCTCACCAGCTGGTGTCATCACCTAATGCTTTACATCAGTTAGCCGTGTTTCCATCTCCCCGAACATGAGGGGCTCTCGGCGTCTTGTGTCCCCACAAAGGAATTAACAGAAGTCTGAGGTCCCTGGCTATGGTGGGCAGACAGGCAGCTTTGCTTTCCAAGTGACAGAGTGGCACACGAAAGGTTAGGTGGGATTATACCACAGCATGGCCTGGAATTCCATAATGCAGTGCTACTGACATAAAAAGTCAGGACACCCGGGGTTCCAGAACCTTCCAGACAGCAAGCCTTGGGATTGCTGGACAAATGAACCTGGGATTCTGGACAAATGAACCCAGTCGCTGCCCACACTTCCAGGCAGAGACAGGAGCTGAGCAACCCTGAAGAAGTGTGCCACCTCTCCAGCAGTGCCCATAACAGGAGCAGTTCTTAAAAGTCATGTCCAATGGGAAAATGTTGCTGTGTTCTGCCTAGTTATGGTATAGTTCCATTGAGTGACAAAATGTGACCTCTCTTTCTTGAAACGGAAAAATCAGCAAAGGAACTGTGAAGCTGATGTCAGTGAAGGTTTCATGTTCAGTGAAGGTTTCATGTACAAACTCATTGTTTAATCCCATATTATTCATGACTGTTCCAGTGCTATGATGAAAATTGAAATCCATGTTAGGATTTGTTCTTTAAGCAGCTAATTTAACATTTGAAATTTATCATCACCTTTGGTATATGTAAATGGCATAGTCTAAAATTAATTCCTTGTAGCAAAAGAGCTCTCTTAACGGAACAGTCCTTGCTATGCCCTCAAATTAACCTTTGCATTAAAAGAGATCTTGAGAGAAGATGGTGATTATATCAGGAATCAGCAGTGCCTGTACAACCAACCACCAGGCTCAGACATCAGGGAACTTGTATAAATAATCTTCTGACATTATCACTGGAACTTTAATAAGTCATACAAAAGAAGTTAGAATTTACATTTAGTGTGGTGCCAAGCTACCTTGCCCAGTTATGTGGAATTACAACTGTGAGCCCAACTCTGGTTAATTCAATAAGAACTCAGTAGAGGTGAATGTGTGTGCAGTTACTGGTCAGTTTTGTAGAAATCCAGGATTCGTTTTATTAGCAATCAAATTATATTAATCCTGTAGTCAGACTGTGTCCCCCCTCCTCCTGTCGAATAGCGGGTGGGGTTCTCTTTGCGTTAGCCCAGTGGCTTGTAGCTTATCCATCTATCTAGTCACCGTCACTTCAATCCTGTAGCATCACCTAGACAAAGGGGAAAGTGCCTGCTGCCCAGATTTAAAGGATTATTTCTCCAAACATTATTGCCTGTTTCTTTGACTGACTTCTTGTTTTGAAAAATATTTAACAGGAGAGTTTTTTAAAATAGTATAATGGACATCCATATGCATATATCTGAAGCTCGATTCAGCAGGTGTTAACATTTTGCCACATATGCTTTCTCTCTCCCTCCCTTCCTTCCTATGTGTATTTCATGACTTGATGTTTTTGAAGCATCCAGACCAGTTGTACTATAGACGGTCCCACAGTCTGTATTCATCTTATTATGTCCTCATGGCTAGGTTCATGTTAAATACTTTGGCAAGAATGCTGCAGGTCATGTTATATAATTTTCCATTGCATCACATCAGGAGACACAGGAATGTCAGTTTGTCCCATTTTTTGAGGTGCTGAGTTTAATCACTTGGTTGAGGTTGCATCTGCCTTTTCCTCTGAACAAGTGTGTAACCTGTGGGGTTGCACCATGAGACAGCACAAATGTTCCCAGCAGCTTTCCTCTCATTGATTCTAGCACCCACTGACTGATGGTCCTTTGCTGAATCAGTTCTTACATTGGTGATCACAAAGTAGCAACTTCCTGATTCTGTCCTTCTATATTTATTAGCTGTCAGTCTTCTCTAAAGAAGAGCTGCCTGCTCTCTTTGTTTTAGCATTGCTATGGACTTGTGGGGTTTTTGTTTTCTTTTTTGTTGTGCAATAATCCATTATCATTATTATTCTATTTGATTATGACATTATCTCAAATTTGGCCAGTGGGAGCCTTTCACGCCAGCTCCTCTCACATCCCATTGTTCTTTGAACACTTTTCTGCTTTTTGGCACAAGATATTCCATGTTTACCAGGCGCTCTTCCTGCCCCAGCCCCAGGATCAGTCATTTCTCCTAGGAATCCTGGTTTTTTCTTAGTGAGCATGTGGAAATCAAGAGCTGATCATCATGAATTTTTTTTAAGAGTAAAATTTGGTACAGTATTGGAACATATAAAACAACATTCATGAAAAGTATGTTGAGTACATTATAAAAGTGTTTTCAGAAGAATCTTGATCAATTCATGTCATAGCACACTTCAACAAGATATCCTGCTTATTTTATTACTGTTAATAATGAATGATTAGTTATGGTTTTTTGTCAATGAACTCCTATTGCTTACACTGCACTTGGAAAATGGATAAATCCTTGTTCACTAAGTGAATAGGAGTATACTGTTGATGTAAGGTTCTTACATTATACATGAAGTTTTATTAATTTCAGGTAGACTTTGATAATTGAAAAATGCATATTATAATTTTCTAGATCATCCACTTAAAAAAGGTAAAAAGTGAATAGAGGATATAAAATAGAATTTAAAATACTTTATTAAATTCAAAAGAAAGCAGAAAAGGATGGGGGAGGGGAAAAGAACAAATGGGACAAATAAAAAACATGAACATTGTAGACTTAAAACCTTCCCTACAAATAATTATATTAAATGTAAGCTGATGAGAAACTGCTAAAAGGGAGAGATTTTATTTTTTTTCCCTACAGCCAAGTTTGCAACTATTTTTTTTTAAGGCAGAGATTTTAGACTATTAAAATGCAAGACCTAGCACTAAGCTACTTATAAGAGACACTTGAAATATTAATGCACAAATAGGTTAAAATTTAAAAGATGGAAAAAGATACCCAACACCATGCTGTATTAATATGAGACAACATAGACTCAAGAAGTGTTACTAGAGATAAAGAGGGGTATTTCATAATGATAAAAGCATCAACTTATAATTTTTTAAATGTGTACATTGAATAAAAGAGCTTTAAAATACTTGAAGCAAAAATGACAGAACTAAAGGCATAGACAGCAAAAAGTGTGGATACAGGAACATGAACAGTGCTATGAACCCACTGAGTCCAACACCAAAGCACTGCACCCAACAGCTAAAGGATACCTCTTCTTTTGAAATGTTCCTGAAACACTGACCAAGATAGATCATACTCAGTACCATCTAAATAAATCTGTACAGATTCAGATAATACACAGTATGTTCCTTTATCACATGGTATTATGTTAAAGAGCTATAAAAAAATCTGGAAAATCTCCAAATACTTGGAAGTTAAACAACATATTTTTTAATTACCCATAGGTCAAAGAAGAAATCACAACAGAAATTAGAAAATATTTTAATGTGAATGAAAGTGAAAATATAACATATTCAAATCTGTAGGGTGCAGCTGTGCTTAGAAGGAAATTGGTAGTTTTAAATGTTTATATTAGGAAAATACAATTAATCTATCTTATGAAACTGGAAAAAGAAGAACAAATGAAACCCAAAGTAAGTAGAAGCAAAGAAACTATAAAGAAGGATCAGAAATAAAATAGAAAACAAACCAACAGAGGAAAATAGTAAAACCAAAAGATGGTTCTTTAAAAATGATCAAAAACTTGATAAATCTTTAGGTAAATTGATCAAGAATGAAAGATCCTGCAGACATTAAAGGGATAATAAGGAAATAAATCTTACTCCAGTGAATTTGACAACTTAAATGAAATGGGCAAATTCTCTGAAAGAAACGAATTACCAAACTGACACCAGAAGAAGTAGATTGACTGAGTAGCTCCATATCTGCTAAAGAAATTGAATTTATATTTTATTTTAAAATCTTTCCACCAAACTCCAGGCACAGATGGCTTCACCAGTTAATTCTAACAAACGTTCAGGAAAGAAGGGGTACCAATCTTATAGACCCTCTTTAAAGAAAATAGAGGAGGGAATACTTCCCAATTCATCTCATGAGGCCATTATAACTCTGATACCTCAAGCAGACAGGAAGTGTATGTGTGCACATGTGCATGTGTGTATTCACAAACCAGTACCCAAGGACATAGTTGCAAAAATCCTTGACAAAATATTAGCAGACTCAGTATTATTCAGATATCTGCTCTCCCTAAAGTGATCTATAGATCCAATCCCATACCAATCAAAATTCCCACAGGCTTTTGTAGAAATTGACAGACTGCATTTCCATTTTAGAGTGTCAGAAGCCTAGAGTAGCCAGAACAATCGTGAAAAAGGACAAAGTTGGAGGACTTTTACTACAAGATTTCAAGACTTACTAGGAAGCTAAAGT